TTTTTTTTTTTTTGTAGAAATACGAAATAATAGTCATTTTATATGGTGCAATATTTGTCATGCAATTTTTGTCAAGCACACACCGCATTGAGAGAGAAAGAGGAATTAAACTAAGACATTTCTTTTATCTCAAATCACAATCATGGACATACCTTACAATTAGAGAGGATTTCTTTAGAGATGTTAAACGGTACTTGGCCCGACGGGTCGGCCGTTTAACCTGAAAAAAACAGGGTTAGGACCTTTTTTTAGTAGCCCGTTTAAATCAGAGTTTTTTAGGCCCGGATCGTTAAAACCGAAGCCCGCTAGGGCTAGCCCGTTTAATTTGTATATTACAACTTCACTATTCTACTTTATATGTAACTATGAGCTGTAGCGGGTTATTATGATTTTGAAAGATAATCATTAACTATTTCGTTATTCTACTTCACACCAAATTATTTAAGTCAATTAGAGCGACTAATGAAAAATACATGAGACAAAGACCTAACATATAAAACATAGTGATAGAATATAAATTGAACAGTAAGATATAATATTGTGAAAATTTTCAAAACGTACAAAAATAAGTAGTAAAATGGTAATTATAAGTAATAGTTCGAACAATTTTTTTTCTTTTGGTAAAAACATGTCACTTAAGAGTTTGTAATGAGTGTTCATACATGAAATGTAGTTGTATATATATAGATCGGTAAATACTAAATAGTTGTTGAAAACAATCGTGAATTAGCCGTTGTAATTTTTATTTATATGTTTATTTATATATTATTATTATAGCCCGTTTAGCCCGCTAAGATTAGGATTAGGTCCTTTTATTGGTAACCCGTTTAAATCCGGGTCCTTTTAGGCCCGGACCGTTTATCCCGAAACCCGTTAGGGCTAACCCAAAACTGCTAGGGCTAGCTCCTTTAACATCTCTATTTTTTTTGTTTTTCTTTTTCTTTTTTTCAAAAGATGATCCATAGTGGTTCCCCACTTACCTCCTTGATTGACTTAAACTCGAGACCTGCTAGTATCAACTTACCTCCTTGATTGACTTAAACTCGAGACCTGCTAGTATCAAGTGAAGAGTGCTACCAACTGAGCTACTTCTTCTCATCTACATTTAGAGATTGACTTAAATTCAAGACCTACTAGTATCAAGTGAAGAGTGCTACCAACTGAACTGCTTCTTCTCATCTACATTTAGAGAGGACTTAAAACTAAGACAATGTTTTACACAACCTTTTTTTTTTTCTATTCATTTATATTACTTTTCATAGTTCATTGAGAAAGCCAAAACAAAGTAAGTTACATGGAAACCAATAAGAATTGACAACCTAAAGAGACCCAAAAACCTCTCCCCAACAAAAAATGAGAAACATCGCACAACATTACAGGCCAATGATATATGCGTGCTCTCCAGTCGGCAAGACAACGCTAGGACTTGAAGAATTTCCCAAAAAAAACATTCAAACCCAAAAAAATATGTTAGCAAATCCAAATTCACCAATCATGCACAATTTAAAAAAAAAAAAAAAAAAAA